ATTATGAAAGCTTGGAAGCTGAAATTTTACGGTAATAACTCCCGTCCACGTGTAACTCCGCAGCCTTAATTTCAGCCTTTCTCGCGCATCTGGATACTGCGTACGACCCTGTGAAAGTTTTGCCAGGTAAAATTACTATTTCGGGAACCAAGAAAGTTAGCCAGCTGAAATTTTAGGGTAATGTCCTTTCCCCTAGGTCTGGATATTATGTACGACCCTGTGAAATTTTTGGCAGGGAAAATTATCTTGGGAACCACGAAAGCTGGGAAGCTGAAACTTTAGGATATTCCCTCTGCCCACGTACGACCCCGCAAATTCAAATTCGGCTTCCGCGTACGCCTGGGTCTCAACTCCTCCCTGAATGTTTTGGCGGGAAGAATTATTATTCGGGAATCAGAAGAGGTAGAAGACTGAAAGTTTCAGGAGGATACTTTTCGCCTCTGCAAAGACCGCACAGACTCAAAATTAGTTCCCAATTATGCCGAGGCCTCGCGCACGACCACGTGGAAGCTTTGGTGTGAAAGTCACCAGTTCGAAAGCAAGAAAATTAGGAGGTTGAAATTCTAGAAGGATGCCCATCATCCAAGGTTTCAAATTCAGTTTACACGTGTCGGCGCGTGAAATGTTTGATGGAAAATTTCGCAACTTAGTAACCAGACATTTCAACTATTTTTGCACAGGCCAAAGTGCAAAGCAGTGGAAATCCTTCGCGGGTAAATGATCGTTGGACAGAACTGCGCAAAACGCATGATCGCACCGGCTGTCCTAGTGCGCGGCACTATTTACTAATTTTTCAGCTTGCTTCTCAGACAATATCTGAAAAGGGAAGCAACGACAATTTTGCCAGCGGTAAAGTTTATCACAGGCCATAATGAGATGCTTTTTTATAAATTAGGCTATAATGCCAGCTGCATGCCTATAATCAACACCCTTTGTCACCTGCGTCTAACAAATAACTCATTTCCGTTAAAGAACAATGACTGCAAAATATTGCTCACAACAGAGAAACAAGAGCATGAATGAAGGAAAGACTGCCCCGAGTATAAAACTAACAGAACAAAAAAATGAACACAACTCAATGTACGAGCACAAACAATTTGCCGCATACGTGGTGCAGACACTTGGACGGAAGTCAAAAGTGACATCTAACTAGTGTAATAATGCATGTGCGCAAAAAACGCAGTTTGAAAATGCATGCAGTAAGCATGGACTGAAGGTCTAGGGTTCGGATTTCCCAACAAAGGCATCCAATCCCTCTACATTTCTTTCATCAGTTTTCATGGCAAACTAGTAATGACATGCCAAGGGTAAAACCCATCATCAATTATCTTCTAAGCGACACTCGAAAGACTGGAATACTTCCGAAGCCTCGCTGAAAAGTGGTTGCTACTGACATGAGATCACTTGGGTGGGCTTTGTTCCTCATAGAGGATAAAATCTGACTTCAATCTCTATGAGAAACGAAGGCGTTGAAGAGGTTCTGGCTTCTGATTATGCGAATGCAAATAAAAAAGCTGTCGAAAGGCTTTTGCCTCTAAGATGCTGTTGATTCCTTCAGAATGTTAGAGCAGAAAAACCATATCTTCTTTTTCAAGTCATGTTGATTTGAGATACAGAAGCGAAAGAAATGCGGAACGTGCTCACAGATGAAACAGCAAGAACAAACGTTGGCACTGATAGAGAAAGCCACAAAGGGAAAATGTGAAAAACACAGGCAATTCCAATTCTTCTTCAGACTGAGGAGGCACGAGACATCGACATCGCCACATATGTAAAGTATACTGACAAAATATTGTTGTTTATTTTGCTCCGTCGTACTATGCAGAAAAAAATCCAACTGGACGGCTTCCGGTACTTGATTAATAATTGGCCTACGCACGGGCTGCTCGTGCAAAGATGCGTTTTTTGCACAGCTCCCCGCCGATTTTTGTCGCTAACGGCACTGGTTTTTCCGGCAGATGCTTCTGCCTAAAAGAATTTCAGACTAGCTGCCAGAACTGTCAGGAAACGTCTCTCCAAAATTCCAGTCTTCTAGCTTCTCATGTTCTCGAGTTAGCAACTCACCCGGAACTCTCACGGACCCGTACGTAGGTAGCACGCTTACCCGCGGGCAGCGTTTGAACTCGTTAACGCTTGAACAGAGAATACCATCTTAAGATTTCAGCTTTCTAACTTTTCAGACCCCGAGTTATAGACCTATCCGAAGAAAATTTTGGCGGGCCCGTACGAGGGTAACACGTGAATGATGGCGCCCATTTTGGGGATTGGAGCCCGTACGTGCATGCAGATTAAGTTCCCAAAGTTTCAGCCCTGCAGCTTTTATAGGTCTTGAGACGAAAAATCGGGACAGATGCAAACACAGACACACGGACACACAGACAACCCCTCGTCAATATGCGTTTTTGCATTGCATAGCTGCAAGAAACGCATAAAAGTAAGGAATCCAAGAGGAATGGCACAAAAAAGTTGCCTTGTGTGTAAAGCATTATCTCAGTAGCAACAGGGGTTCCAAAGGCAGTCCAGGAAATGTATGGTTAGTTTTGTTAAGCCAAACCTGCACATTAATGTGATTGTTGTACAAACTGCTTTGCCAAATGTTTATCCATCTCTCCGTGTAATGTTTTTCGGCGCGTTTGCCATCGACATCCCCAATGCCAACAAACATCATCACAGACTGGCCCTTCTTTGACATCATCATCAACTCTTCCGGTGATTTGGCCTGCGTGTAAATATAGGTCACATTTCTGAGACAATGATAAGCTCTGAGATTTATTTACTTCAGGTGAAGCGTTAACAGCAAGGTGGGAGAAACGACCGTACAAGAGTGGCTTGTTAAATGTCACAAGTTGAACGGCTACTTGTTCCAAATACCTGTTTCATGATATTATCGAGGTTCGGCGCTTTTGCTTTCTGCTTGTGTGGCGGTAATTCGTCTTCCTCCAGTTCATCTGCATCATTTTCCTCCCACTGCTCATAAAGCCGTTCGAAGTCACGCTCCGTGTAATCCCGGATATCCTGCAAACTCCTTCACAATATCAATAACTTCCGTAGACATTTTTTAAGATTCTCATTTCATTAAGCAAGCCTTTACAGCAAACTGCATTTACTCAACAGCAACGGGCCATCTGACAGCATTGAAGGTGCCACACACACGCAATCTTAAAATAGGAATTTTCGAAGCACTGCAAAATGAGCACTGAAACAGTGTAAATAAGATACTAAACGACGGGGGAAGGGAAACAGAAACTAAAGAGGGGGCTACCATAACGGAGATGGAAGGAAAGGGAAGGACTGAGGGAAATGAAGTAACAATCAGCGTCTGTAAGGAA